GAATTATAGGCCTAATTAGTAAAGTGAATCTGAGTTGACATTTCTGTTTCCAGTGTAAGAGTGTATTTATTCAACTACTTTCAGAGGCTCGGTGCACTTGGAAAACAACCATTTTCTATAAAACATTAAGGACCTTCAAAGAAATAAAAAGATAACCTGTCTGTAACTTTCTTCAGCTGTGAACCGTGTGACTATCTGGCCACCTCAAACAAATCCTAGCACCATCAATTAAATAAATCTGCTTCATTCAGTGTGTGGTCCCTGGGCAGTAACATCATCATGACCTGGGAGCTGGTTAGAAACGAAAATGCTCGAGCTCCAACCTTGACCTGTTGTCTTAGTCCATTTGTGTTGCTATAAAGGAATACCTGATGCTGGGTAATTTATAAAGAAAACAGGTTTATTTGGCTCATGGTTCTTCAGATTGTACAAAAAACATGGCACCAGCATCTGCTTCTGGTGAGGGCTTCAGACTGCTTCCACTCATGGGGAAAGGCAGGAGGAGCCAACCACATGGCAAGAGCAGGAATCAAGAGACAGAGGAGGAGGTGCCAGGCTCTTTTCAAGATCCAGTTCTCATGGGAACAGAGTGAGAACTCACTCCCTCAAGAATGGCACCAAGCTATTCAAAAAGGATTTACAGCCATGACCCATAAACCTCCCTTCAGGCCCCACCTCCAATACTGGGGACCAAATTTCAACATGAGACTTCGAGGAGCCAACAAATCACATCCAAACCTCACCAGTTAACTCAGTCTGAAGATAGGAACTGCAGTCTGTGTTTTAACAAAGCTCTCCTGAGAATTCTGTGCTATGTTCAAGTTTGAGAACCACTTGCATCAACCATTCAGACTAACCAAATCCAGCACATAATAGTGTTCAAGAAATGCTAGTTATTATTATTAGATAAGCCAGCTGTGACAAATTTGATACCGCAACTAAGTAAAAACACTCCAGATTATATTCCTCACTACAGAATGTGTTGGTCATATTTTATAAATGGAGGCTGATCCCCAGTTGATACCTTCTCTGTTTGGAAATGAAGATGGCAGAACTGTTAAGATGATCAAGAAACATAGGATGTGGTAATCCAGATGCTCCAGTCAAGTTTATGATTGCAATTAAATTGATATCTGAGATTCATTGATGAGGTTTGGAAATCAAATCCCCCAAATTTATAAATATTTCATGATCAATTATGCAACACAGCTGCAGTTACCAAGTAGTAAACCTCATAAGAAAAGTTGCAGTTGCACGATGTTTTCAGAATTACGTTTGTCTAATTTAAGCTATACAACAAAGAGTGTGTATGTGTGTCTGCATATGTGCCCATGATAGTGTGATAGTGAGGTTGGCCTTCATTGATGAAATACTAGTATTTATTTATAATGACATTTCTTGCAGTTTTGCCTTCTTTTTCTTTGTTCATTAATTTCTATTCAGATTTTTAAATTTTGCTTTGACCCCTCTGGTGCTTTAAGTGCTGGAGCCCGTGGTTCTTAAACAGAAAAGTGCAGACTGTGTGCTCAGACTGAGCCACAGATATCATATAATGACCTCGGAAAAATCTTAAATTATGTTGTACAGAGCCTGAGGTTTTGACTGTAAGACAACTGTCCCACACTTGAATGCCTAGCCTCATTAATATAATGTGATAATCCATTTTTCTCTTATGAGTGCTACATGACATATATTTACTTGTCCTAATTAAACTGACTTAAAAATAATCTCTAAGAATGTGGTGGCATGCCTGGAGCTTTCCTAGAGATCAGCAAAGTCAGATCTGGAAATCACTTTTCTGAGAATATTACAACTTGACCAGGCCATTGCAACCTCATTTCCATCTTTATTCTCAAAACCTTGGAGGATATCTCAACTAACAAGTGGATTTTTTTTTTTTGTATTTTTTTAAATTGCACTTAGGTTCTGGGGTACATGTTCAAAACATGCAGGATTGTTGCATAGGTACATACATGGCAATGCGGTTTGCTGCCTCCATCCCCTGTAACCTATATCTGGCATTTCTCCCTCTGTTACCCCTCCCCAACCTTATTATCCCCCCCCATTGTCCATACAAATGGATTTTTATAAATGAATTCAGTTATCTGTTTTGCTATCCCTTAAAGATTCATGCCTACTCACCTTGGAGTTTCATACCATCTGCAGAATCCATTCATCATTCATTTAACAAATGTTTCCCCTAACTTGTTCAATTATTTTTCTATTTTATTTCCCAAGCCCATCCACTTTCTTTTATAAGCAGTCCATCTGATGTGTGTAATGTATACCTTTGTGTTTGTGCTTTTGCAAAATGTATATTGCTATCTGCATACATGTATTTTTTATATTTTAAATGGCATTGTGTTAGATAACTAATTTCTTTCATACCTTTTACACTCTACAACAACTATATTGCCATGTATGGAATCCATCATTTCTAATTCTTTTATAATTATTACAAACTCATTTGCTAACTATTAGGCATAAAGGGTTGAAGAAGAAAATTCATGATTTCTGTTTCCACAGAGCTCACACACTAGTTTACAAAAAGCATTTTAAAAACCCCATATAGTATGACGAGTACCATATATATTGATAAATATATAAATATATTGAATATATATCAAATATGATATATATCAAATATAAATATGTTGAAAATATATTAAAATTTATTTTTATATATTTTCAAAAATATCTATCAAATTCTTTCTGTGTGTTAAATATGATGTTAAGCACTAGGGATACAATAGAGAACAAGGTAGTAGTGATAACTGCCCTCAGGAAGCTTACATTCTAGAGGATTATCCAAGGGATTTAAGTTCAGTGGCAAATAACGAAATGGTTTTATGCAACAGAGCATGATAAAGAAATCTGTATCTTTATTCTGGATGGATTAAACAGAAGCAAGACTAGACTCAAGAAACAAGTTAGTTGCAGAGAACAATTGAGAAACTATAGTGGCTTCAATAGGGTGGGTGGCACTGGAACAGAAAAGAATGAAGAGAGTGATGTGACATATTTTGGAAATAAAACAGACAAAAGTTGATGTTAGATTAATTATGAAGGGGAAAGAGGAATCAAGTCATGTCCCTGAGTTTCTAGTCTGGAAATGGAGTTGGAGAAGACTGAGCATGAATTAGGTATGGGGAGAAAAGCAAAAGTCCTGTTTGGGTCATGATGCCTATGTGGCATCTAAATGGAGGTGTCAAACAGGCAATCGAGCATACGGAGCTGATTCTCAGAAAAGGGCGACGGACTGAAGATGCAGATTCAGGAGTCATGATACGTGGATGGTCTTTAAAATCATGGGAATGAATAAGAATGTAGAGAAAAGCAAACGAGGCCCATTGCAGATCCCAAATGTTTGGAGACCAGACAGAAGAGCAGTCAGCAGGGAAATTGTAAGCAAGTGCTCAGGAAGGATCTACTGTGTTTGGGTCATTTAGGTATCTTTGGCTAGCACCTTTAGCCAAAGCTGTTTGTATGGAAAGATTTAAAAAGGAGGCCTATAGGGAATGGTGTAAGTCAGGAAGTAGAGATGGTGCATGCAGACAAATCTTCAGTGACTATGGGCTGAAGCAGAGAAAATAAGGTAGGGTGATATCTGAAGGGAAATTTTGGCTTAAGAAATTTTTTTTTTAAGTAGGTGAGACTTGAGCATGATTAAAACATGATACAAAGGTGCATAGATAGTGGAAGTTTCCTGAAAGGCAGAAGGAGATAAAAATCCAAGCTCAGGGTCCAGCTCCCAGTGAGAGGAGGGGCAGCTGTGGGTTGATAACACCCACTCCATGCCTTTCTCTGAATACCATTTCACTGGCAAAATGAGATAAGAGGAGGAGCTAGTTTGAGAGTTCTGTTGAGATGGATTTCACAATGAGCAGAAGGCAAAGGACCTACACTTTAAAAAGTAATTTGTTCAAAGGTCACTGTCAAAAACACTAGGCCTCAAAACAAGAAGACATCTATAGAGTTTAGCAGATAATCAGATTTGATATTGTCGCAGGGCAAATTTGGGTTGAGAGAAAGCTGTCTGGTGGAAGAAAATTACTCCCTTCTGTCTGGGAAGAGACTACAACAGGCTTTGACAGAATCCCCGAGAAATTGGGCAGCATTTCATTATATTTATCAAAAAGCTGAAAGCTCCCTGCTTTTTCAGCTTAAGCAGGCTTATGGAGCAGAAGACGGAGTCTCCAGGATAAATAAAATTCAGGAATATCAGAAGGAAGGGGGAGTGATTAACTGAATGGGGTGTGGTCAGAAGACACACTAAAGCCTTTTAGCATTTCATTGGTCCCTGGCCTGGGGCCAACACTCTTGAGACCTTAGTGTTGAGTCTGCACAGTCCTATGATGAATCCTCTGCTTAAACCTGGGAAACAACCACACACAAATTAAATAGTATTTAATAACAGCTAAAGGATAAGTGTAAATAGATCTAAAAATTATTTCTTTAAATCTTAAGCTAAAGGGTACAGTGTTTAATTTCCTTAATCATAGTATTCTAACAAATTAATGGTAGCGTTTTGACTCTTTCTGAGTCAACTTCTTATACACAGCAATAAACTTAGCAAATCACATCTTATGTGTTAAGAAATATTGGTGATTGAGTCACAAAGCTATACTCAAGAGGCCAATATTGACTTGGGGGCGGCAACATTGTAGCCAAAGTAGCTGAGAGGAGATAAACCATCTTTGAAGTTTCTGATTCTCAAACACAAGCTTATAATATATCAGAGGTAGTAAACAGAAGGGCAGTATATTTTTGTTACAAAGAATGCTAACTTGGGACCCCGTCTCTTAGTGCTATCCTGCTGTTCACATGGAGGTATGATGATTTTGGGGGGAGTTGCTAAACTTCTTAGTCTCTTCATCTATAGAGTATCCACTAGGTACTCAGGAATTTTTGAGATCTCTCCCAGCTTTAAAATCCCTTACTCTGATGTATTAATCAGGATTCATTCAGTTCTAAGTGACAGAAAGAGACCTCAAACTGACTTCAGTTAAGAGGGGAGATTTATTGTTTCACATAACTACAAAGCTATTGGCAGCCTGCATAGCGCCTTCTGAGAATAGAAAAAGGGGCTCCTGAGTGAGCATTTGGCTTGGCAAGCAATGGGAACCTTTAATGAAAAATAAAACAAAACAAAATGAAACAAATAACAAAACAAAACAATAAACAAGTCTCTTTCTCTGAATAGATACACCCTTACTCCCAGATGCACACAACAGATTTCAGCATCCACTTACCCCTTTGGCTGGGAATGCTTTGCAGTTCACAATTGACTCAACTCTATATAGTGGCCCTAAATCCCAGGGTAGTCTGGCATCATTGCCAGCTGGATCAAGGGACTCAAACACTGTCACCAGGACTTACTCTTACCTCTTGGCTCTGCTTTGTTTGTTTTTGGATCCACCCCCTACCCCGAGTGTGTGTGAGAGAGAGATAAATTGAGGAAGAGAGAGGGAGAAAGAGAGACCCGTGACCAACCTGGGTCACATGATGAATTCTTAAATTTGAGGGTGGGACTGGAGTCCTGTCAAACCACATGGATTGAGGGAGCGGAAGACCTCAAGGTGCTGTTCCTAGAGAAAGGGGATGGATGCTGAGCTGGGAAAGACAATCCATGTCCTTTTATGTAACTCTATGGTTTTCAATCAGCTTACCAAGTAGTCTTAGATGATCTGAGGCATTCCCCTCTGAAGTTTCTGCATTGCCAAAAACCTTGACATTGTATAACCAATTCTGAAAATGCAGTATATTTTAACATTGCTGGTGGCATCATTAATTGGCACGAAGCTTTGGAACTCTATTGAATAATTTTGATCAATAGTCATAAAATCTCCTTGTATCGTGTGGTTTAGTCAATACCACTGAGAATTTATTTTAAAGAAATAACTCAAATTTTAAAATACATGTATGTGAAAATGTTTATTCAACATTATCTATAATAAAAAGTTGGAAATAGCCTAGATGTCAACCACACGGAAATAGATAAGTCAATTAAAACTGAATAAAATGTTGAGTAGCAATTAAAATGGCAATTATAAAGGTTTTATGCTGTGAAAAAAGATATGTACAAAATTATATAAACCATTTGATGACTGCCAAAAAAAAAAGGTAAACATATAGATAGCCTAGAAAGGAATGCCTAAAAATGGAAATCATGGTTGTGTTTTGAGTGGAGGTTTGATGAGGAAATTGTCTTGTCTTTAAATTTCTGACAGTGTTAGTATAATATTATCTTATAATGAATAAGGTTAATTGAACTTCAATAAAAGTTCAATAAATATTTTATTAAACAAAACTAAATAAACACACCCCTGAGTTCTGTGGTGAGAAGATTTATTTTTAGGGACCTTGACCTGAAGACAGGTCTTCTTGAAAAATGTTGCTGGAAGGCTCAGAATGTATATGTCTGCCACAGGCCTTGATTAATATTGTTCAAAGGAAGATAAAGGAAAAAAGGGCAGTTATGGGGGAAGAGGGAAGAGAAAGTTGACTTTAAAAAGTTAATGTTCTAATCACACAAGTCATACATAAATACATTCTCATTCTAAAACATTAAAATATTACATCTAACATTTCAGCTAAGGCTGAAGTCCTCTTTGACACCTGTTGTAATAATCTGCTCAGGCTGCCATAACAGTATATTACAGTATACTACAGACTGTGTGGCTTAGACAACAGAAATTTATTTTCTCACAGTTCTGGAGGCTGGGAATTCCAGGATCAAGTTCTCACAGTATTTGGTTTCTGGTGAGGGCTCTTTTCCTGGCTTGCAGATGAATGCCTTCTGGCCTTCTCACTGTATCTTCATATGAACTTTGTTCCCTGCTGTGCAAGAAAAGAGGGAGAAAAAGAAAGGGATTGAGGGAGAAGAGAGAGTTCTCTAGTGTCTCTCTTTTTTATTTTATTTTTTTTAAGATGAAATCTCATTCTGTAACCTAGGCTAGAGTGCAATGGTGCAATCTTGGTTTATTGCAACCTCCACCTCCTGGGTTCAAGCAATTCTCCTGCCTCAGCTTCTGGAGTAGCTGGGATTACAGGCGCATGCCACCATGCCTGGCTAATTTTTGTATTTTTAGTAGAGACAGGGTTTTGCCATGTTGGCCAGGCTGGTCTCAAATTCCTGACCTCAAGTAATCTGCCTGCCTCGGCCTTCCAAAGTGCTGGGATTACAGGCATGAGCCACCATGCCTGGCTGTGTCTCTTACTATAAGGACAATAATCCCATCGATTCAGGAACCCATCTGCCCCTTCTGACCTCATCTAATCCTAATCACTTCCTTATTCCAAATTCATCCACACTGGGGGTTAGGGCTTCCACATATGAATTTTGAAGGTACACACATGTTCAGTCTATATCAATGCCCTCCCGTACCTAGATGCTTCTTCCCCAATTCTGACCCCCATAATCAATTTCCAAGTACAAGCATGTATTCAGATTTTTTTCTCAAAAAGAAAATAAAATGTACCCATAGATTTATAAAGTTATTTTTATTCTGTGCAATTAAAAACTCTTCCTATGTACAGAACTTTTTAACTTGTTTTTTGTAAAATATGTCTTGGTGAATTTTCATAGTAGTTATGGGTACTTGAGCTGCATAATATTCTGATATATATTACCAGATCCTATTAACTATTTTATTTTTTATGATTGACATATAATTTGTACACATTTATATGGTACAATGTGCTGTTTTCATACATGTATACATTGTATAATGATCAAATCAGGGTTATTAGCATATCTATCACCTTACACATTTATCATTTCTTTGTGATGAGAACATTCAAAAGCCTATCTTCAAGTATTTTGAAATATACAGTCCGTTATTGTTAACTCTAGTCTCTACTATAAAACAGAACACAGAACTTATTTCTCCTATCTAACTGTAGCCTTGTAACCATTGACTAATCTCTGCTCAATCTATTAACTATTTTAAGTAACTATCACCATATTGATAGGTGTTTAATTAATTTCTTTTTTTTCAGTCACCAACAATTCTGCAATGAGAATCTTTATACATGCCTTTTTGTATACAAAGGTGAATATTTCTCAAAGATGACTTGCTGGTTCACAGAATATGCACATCATCCAATTTTTTTGTTGTTTGAGATGGAGTCTTGCTCTGTCACCCAGACTGGAGTGCAATGGCACTTTCGTGGCTCACTGCAACCTCTGCCTATGGGGTTCAAGCAATTCTCTGGCCTTAGACTCCTGAGTAGCTGGAATTACAGGAATCTATCACCACACGCAGCTAATCACCTAATTTTTGTATTTTTTTTAGTAGAGATGGGGTTTCATCATGTTGGTCAGGCTGGTCTTGAACTTCTGACCTTGTGATCTGCCCATCTTGGCCTCTCAAAGCGCTGGGATTATAGGCCCGAGCCACCACATTTGGCCCATTATCAATTTTAATAGATACTGTCCAATTGTCCTCTCAGGTGGCTATACCAATTCATATTCTCACTAGTAATTTATGAGGCTGCTTGAACATTTGGTACTGTCAACATATATTTGTCAACATTTGGTATTAATATCTTTGTCAATCTGATGAGTACCAGAAAATATTATCTTACTGCTTAAATTTGTATTCTCCTGATTGATGTTGAAGTTGAACATCTGGGATATATATTGACCAATTTCATTTCTTCCTAAATATTGTCCCTTTATGTGTTTTTCCCACTTTTACCTTTCAAATTGTTTATCATTATCTTATTAAATTTGTATAACTCCTTCATATATTCTATATGCTAATCCTTTATCTGTAAATTAGGTTGCAAATATTTTCTCTTAATCTGCCTTCTTTTTTTTTTTTTTTTTTTTTACTTTATTTATGGTATATTTTGCTTGGAAAGTTTTATTTTGAAAATAGTCACAATTTTTAATTTTTTCCTTTACAGGTTTTGCTTTTAGTGTCCTAAAAAGGCATTTTCTCCCCCAAGATCATACTTGTGTGATCTCATATACTCATTTGACCCTCATATTTTTAACCCTGATATTTTGTTTTTGTTTTTCTTTTACTTTTAGATATTTAATCCATCTGAAATTTATTTCCAAAAGTGGTGTGAGATAGGAATTAAGTGTACTATTTTTCAAGTGGATAGTCAGTTATCCCAGTGCAGGGAGTTGACTTTTTTTTGTTGCTGTTGATAGAAGCTCATACTCTAAGAAGAGAAAACATTTTGATATTTCACAGTTTCTGGAACCCGCTCAAGAGGAAAATCAGCTGGTGTACACAGTCGTGCCCATGTCTGAAAGAAACTGAGCACACACTTGAAAGCACAGAATCTACAGCGCATTCATTCTTCATGCAACAGACATAGGTTGTAAGTATAATTTTAGTACGGTTAGACAGTAAGCCTAAATCAAGAGCTTTCTTCAACCTTGATCCCTCTCAAAAGCAAATAATCTTTTCCATAAATCAAATTACCAACCTCTGCTTTATCTCTTTTGTAATTAAGATTTCCCTGTAATTTGGTTTTTGTTTGAATTAGTACACATTTAAATGTAAACAATGTGCTGAAATTGTGTTAGAGAAAGATTCGCTGTAACATTACACACATTTTGAACCTACCTATAGTTTGTTAAATTAGCAGTAACCTTATGTCTCAAAGACATTTCGGACTTCTGTGCATTTTTCCAAATGGCTGAAACAAGGAACCAACTGCATAGAAAATGTGTACCCTCTTTGCCTGACCATGCAGAGCAGTAGGTGGGTGGGTGCTGACTCTGCCTCGGTCACTTCACACCTGTAAAATTTCGGCTAAGTCTTCTTAATATTTGGTTGCCACATTTGCCCTGTCTGTTGAATGGAAATCATAAAAGGCCTTACATATTAGAATCATTATTATTAAAACTAAATGGGATAATACTCCAAAGCTCTTAGAATAGTATCCACAAGGCCATTTTTTCAGTGTTTGGGGAAGATCGTAGCCCAGAAGGATGCTGCTTTGACAATGTTCTACTTTTGTCTTTTTAAAAATTTTGCATGCTTTCAGTTTATCTTTTTTCTGTTATCACTACTTTTTGTGTGTGTATTTTTAAAAAATAGAATCTTTGTCCCAAATTCGTTATCAGAGAAAGCTGGAAGACGTCTTTGTAGCAAGCACCTTGATCCCCACACCCCAGTTAGAGTTCAGGGAAATGTGAGCCTCAATTATGGGCTTTTTCACAGTCACCCTGGAAGGCTAACTCCAGGCCTGAATTATGCCAATGCAGAGGATACTGGGACAATTGATGGGGAAATCACACATTCCCCCATAAAGCTTCAGGAGCATGCTTGCCATGTTTATTCACTAGGGTCCTTTTTGTACTCCAAATATTTTTTGCTTGGAGATTTCAGATACATAATCTCAGAAGAAACCAAAAAAAGCTCAGGATTGTCTGGGTTGACCTGGATTTTCTAGGCCTCAAACCTTTGCTTTTTCTTTTTTTTATTTGAGACGAAGTTTTGCTCTTGTTACCCAGGCTGGAGTGCAATGGTGTGATCTTGGCTCACCGCAACCTCCGCCTCCTGTGTTCAAGCAATTCTCCTGCCTCAGCCTCCCGAGTAGCTGGGACTACAGGAGCGTGCCACCATGCCCAGCTAATTTTTCTATTTTTAGTAGAGATGGGGTTTCACCTTGTTGACCAGGATGGTCTCGATCTCTTGACCTTGTGATCCACCCGCCTTGGCCTCCCAAAGTGCTGGGATTATAGGCGTGAGCCACTGCGCCTGGCCTACCTTTGCTTTTTCACACACATGCTGCTTCCCCAAGAGCCAAACAATGTCTCTCAGCAGAGCCCCTCATTTTATAGAACCGGTCTCTATGCCCATGTAGAGGCTTCTCTGTGAACACCACCGTGGGGGAGCAGGTTTCATGTTTTTGCATCTACGCTGACAATCAATAAAGATCTTGTTACCCAAAAATCGCCACAAAGTGCTTAGGATCCTTTTGTCTGCCATAGTAGGGGTGAACTAGAGGATGGGAAGATGAGTCAGTGAAGACACTGTGGGTATGGGAGGCCTTGTTCATTCTGGAGAAGTCCCAGAGAAGAAAAGATTATAAAAAGGAGATTTGGAAGGCAAGAGATGGGTAGGAGTCCCAGTTCCATGACAAGAAGCACACAGCTGTACAGAGAGTAAAACAGAGGAAAGAAATGCTGCCAGGAAGGGCCAATGGTGAGATAAGATTAATAAGGATGGTCAGCTTGGTGGACATTGTGTCCAAATCTAGAAGAGAAGGCCTCTCTGACACTGAGATAGGGCCAGACCTTTCATCCTTCCATTCCATGAAAAAAATAACCAGTGCTTAAACAGGCTTTACCTATGCAAATATTAATATTTAATTTGTAAAACAAAAGTGCAATGCTTTGAGATATGTATGTTATGTATGTTTTTTATATATTTTATATACACATGAATATATTATATATAACACTTTAATGTATATGGTATGTGTGAACATTATTTGAAGACAAGGTCAAAATAGATCATCCGAGAACTTTTCTGAATGTGAGATTCAAGCCACTAGCCCTGCTAGCCCCTCCTTTATGTAACCAGCCCAGGCAAGAGCCGGCCTGGGATACCACAGGACTGAGCTAAGCCAGAAAGGGAGGCTGTTAAGGTCTCAATGTTTGTGTTCACCTAAATTTCATATGTTGAAGCCTTAATCTCCAATGTGACAGTATTAGGAGTAAGGAAGCTTAAATGAGGTCATAGGGTGGGGCCTTGATTCTATGGGATTAGTGAGTACGCTTCTAAGAAGAAACACCAGAGAACTAACTCTCTCTCAATATTTCTCTCTCTCTCTGCTCTCATGCATCAAAGAGAAGCCATGTGAAGACATGGTGAGAAGGTGTTGAACTGTAAGCCAGCAAGAGAAAGACAGACTTCGCCAGAACACAAATTGGCCAGAATCTGGATCTTAGACTTCCAGTCTCCAGAATTTTGAGGAAACAAATTTCTGTTGTTTAAGCCATGAAGCCTGTGGTATTTTGTTTTAGCAGCTCCAGCTGACTAACAGATAATAGATGCCTAGATGGAGGTGATGATATAAGGCTAGCTCTCCTATTCCTCATGGTCTGTGGAAGTGAACATCTGAAATAACCAGCAAGTAGCATCATCCAGCAAACTGGATTTTAAAAAACCAGAGGCTGTCCACTGCAACATTAAACAAAGTACATTTTTAAAAACCTCTATATTTGGGAGCATTTCTTGACAGGAAGCTGCTCATTTGCTTTTAACATTACCTAGTTTATAATACTTGCCTCAGTGGCCCTAAAGTGATTGACATTAAATGTAAAATGTGGTTATTGACTCAATCACTCAGCAAATATTGACTGCAGGTATAGGATTGTACCAGGTGCTATTGTAATTGCTGGTGATACTGTGGCTAATGAAAGAGTCTGCTTCTGCCCTGATGAAGCTTACCACTAAGTGGTAGGAGACAGGCATTAAACAAACAGGTCAATACATACAGGGTCAGATGGTAATAAGTGCTATGAGGAAAAGTAGAATAGGGTAAGGGGAGTAGGAAGAAGTATGGGAGTTGTTATTTATATGGTCAGGAGAGGCCTGGCTGAGTGAGACACTGACGTGGGAGCAAGGACCTGCAGGAGATGATGGAATGAGCCCTATGGATACCAGAGGAAATGGTTATGCAGGAAGGGGAAGAAACAAGAGTCTGAGGTGGGAATGGGCAGGAGGCAGGGTGGCCAGAGTGGAGTGAGAGAAGGGGAGATGTGGAGAAGCCAAGGCCAGAGTGCAGCAGAAGCCAGGTGGTATGGGCTTTGGCTTTCACTGACTGTGACCAGAGGATGCATATGATTTTAATGAATGAGTTAAAGGATTATTCTGGCTGCTATTTGGGATTAGATAGAAGGGAAGTAAGTTCAGAAGCAGGGAAACCAGTTATAAAACTATTGCAAAAACCCCAGATGAAATGATGGTGGCTTGGAACAGTGAGACAGTGGTGAAAAGGAGAAGTGATCAGACTCCGGATATATTTTGAAGGTAGGCCGACAGGATTTGCTGATGAATTGGATGTGACAAATGGGAAAAAGGGAGTAGTCAAGGATGGCTCAAGATGGTGAGGTCTGAGCAGCTGGAAGGAGGACGTTGTAACATGATCAGGAGAAGCAATGCTGATAAGTATCACTGCATCTTGAGTCACCTTCATCAACAATGTACTGAAAGGAACCTGAGAGTCTAAGGCGAGTTCTTGGTCCACAGTTAGCTAATTAATGCTGTCATATGCCATTCTTATTAAAGTTTATTTGGTGTGTTTTATAAGAAAAATAGCTAACCAGTTTACAAAAAAATAAGTAACCTAAAAAGGTAATGTACTGACTAAGGAATTAAATAAAAAGAGAAAATCCTCTAAAGCAAGGGAATCTAGCCAAAAAAAAAAAAAAGTCAAACATTGGACTGTAATAACTTAAAACTCCAAGTCTGCAATCTTGTTCAGAAAGTAGAGAATAGAAGGGAACAGTAATAGTGAGGAGGAGAAAAGGGTTAGGGACCTTCAAAAGTTTGCTTCAACAGAAGGAAAGGCTTTAAAAGGTGACTGAGAGAAAGGAAATGACTCAATTGCTTTGAGGCATGCAAAGAAAGGGAGAGGAATTATGAGGAAAAAACGTGTATGTATTTATAAAAGTATTAACAATATAATTAAATTACACAATACAGTAGTTCTTAAGAAAATAGGTGTGTAGGTTTTCAGTTCAAATGTTAAAATGTAACATTCTAGTTTATATTAATAAGTACTTGGTTATGAATAAAGATATATTTAAGAGGTTTCACAAAGAAACTGACATCAATTGTTCCACTTATATTTAGTGAAGTACAAATCAGGCACTGGTAACTAGTGGCTGAATCATCTGAAACTTTTGGAAAGAACCAAATTATATACTATTTATTTTGAAATGTAACATTTAAGCTCATTCCAGCCAAAAACGTTATATCTGAAAACACTCAAATCTAACTAGTTTAGTCAGTATTTTATAGGACAGTTAACTACAGACTTGTCCCAGGCACAAAATCCAAAATTCAAGATCAAGTTAAGATATTGGGAAACCATCCTTATTTTTTATAATTAATTATATGTACAGGGGAGTTTTCAGATGATACATTTATATTCAACAAGGAAGTTTTTTATACTTCATTAAAACTGTACTTTAGATCCAAGCATATCATTTTTTAAGTACATTCATTGTTCACAATTATCCAGCCTAAGTTTAGATGTTTAAAACAGCTGTCTTCTGTTTTAAAGTTTCAACAAAACACCCTTAGTGGTCTTCATTTCTCTGGTTATAAAATTACTCTTAAATACACATTCATTATAATAAACAGCCCAGAAAATGTCTTTCAGTTCATATCAGTACGGTTTTCTCACATAATCTAAAAACTAGAATTGGAACAAATTGAAGCATAATTTTATATTTAAGCATGTGCCAGAACAATCTTCTCTTCTAGTAGGCCTTCCACTACCCGGAAGCAAAGGCCTTGAAAGGCACTTCTCAAAAAGAAGTATATTTTCATTTTCATCATTCTTTTGGCCAAATAGAAAATTCCAAAGTGGTATTTAATCAACCAGTTTATCTGGTTATGAAAAGCATAAATTATATTTAGGTAACGCATTTTTAAACAATCTCACATCCTGGTAGATATCAATAACTTTAAATATTAGTAGGTGGGGCAATTAAAAGAAGTTGTTTTGGAACAAAAAGAAGAAAACAGGGCCAAAGACAGTCTTTGCTCTGTGTTACATAACTAGAGATTCTAACTCAATGTAAAGAGCTTTTGTGGAGGAAAAAATGGAGTTCTGGTTTACTTAACATGTATTGTTCATTCACTACCTTATTTCTAATCTACCATTCTCTTAATTTCCCAAACAATAATTTGATATCAGAAGTGAATGGATCCAAAGCTCCACTGCGGTACAGTGGAATGATTGTTACACACAGGGTGCGGGGCCCACCGTGAAGCTATTCATGGAGGGCCAGACAGTAATTCACTGTTAGCAACTCCAGCTTGCTGGTAGAGCTGGCCCTTGGAGATGATCTGACATTGTTCCCAGTGAATTCAAATTGCAGTTTATCTCCTTCCATGAGTCTTCTAGAGTTCTATTTATATTCCTATTGCATCTTATTTTCAAGCATCTTGTTTTTGTAATTGTTATATGTACTCATCACTTTCATCTATAAATCTTTTTCTCCCCATTCAAAAAGCAAATTAGACACTTTACAGTCGAAATTCTGTGTTGGGAAAAGCCTAGATTTTGGTCATCTTTAGAACTGGAATCTCAAAATCAGAAGAGCATATATATTTCTAGTGGTTTTTTTTTCTTTTCCTTTTTAAATGATCCTTTCCATCTAAGGATCTATTCTTTATCCTACTGAATCCTTGAAAAGGAACTCACTGCTTTCACTAACTCATGCCCTCCTTTATGTACCCTCACTCTTGGTTAAGTGCTAGTGATACAAGAGAAAATGACAGAGATGTAGTTCGAAGACTTGAGAAACTTGTGATCTAACAGAAAAGAGAAGCACTCAACAAATAATTGCACCAAATATTAATATTAGCTGTAATGTCTGATATGTACTATGAAGTAAATTCACAGGATGATTTGAGAATACATAATTGGCAAGCTGACTTATCAGGGAAGTCTTGTTTGAGGCAGGGACATTGAAGGATGAGTAGGGCTTAGCCAGGTAAACAGAGAGAAGGGGAAGTTCCAGTATTCCAGGCAGGAGCACGAGGCCAGGCCTGTAGTTATAAAGAAGGAACATGGAGCTTTCCAGGAACTGAAACACCAGTAATGTTGCAAGAAAGCAAGATAGCGATGGGAGCACGGCAGAGATGAGAGCAGAGAGGTAGGCAAGAAACTAATCATGCACAGTGTTAAGGCTGTATTAGGGTTTGGGCTTACCTATGGATGCCTCGGAAGTGTTTCAAGCAGGGCTTGACGTGATCATATGCGTATCTTTCAAAGATAACTTAGGCTACAATCTGCAGTATGAATAATAGGACAAGAGAGAATAGAATTTAATGTTAATTTGGGAGAAAAAGAAATAAAAAATATTGTTATATATTCATTACAGATACACATGGCATCTGTAAAAATACAGAAACAAGATGTAAGGATGCACAGAAAACTTATAATAGCACTACTTATTTAAAAAAGAATGAGAGTGAGAGTAAGAAAAAGATGTTGATGATAAGGAAGTTAAGCTTTATCCACCATGTATTATTTCTTAAAGACAATAAACAAAAATGACAAAATAATAACAGTTGTTAATTCTGAGTAATGAAAATTGGGATGTTGGTTATATTATTCTTTGACAATCTTTCAATTTCCTCAAAAGAAAAACTACATTAAAAAGAAATGAGAGGAGAACCAAGAGACGGGTGTGTCATGAAAGCCAAGAGCAGAGAGCATTTCAGAAGAAACAAGTTCATTGTTGCTGATAATTCAAATAAAATGAAAATGTTAAAATATCTACTGTAATTACTGTCATGACTGTCACTGAAGGCTAGCAAAAGGGGACAGAGTTGATGAAAGAGGAGGAAGTGGCAACACTGGTTGTCAACAATCTCTGGAGATGTCTGGCTTTGGAAGAGAGGAGAGAAGAGAAATGGGGCTTGAAAGAAATGGGGTCCAAGGCGGGCTGTTTCTAAGACTGGAAAGACCGAAGCTTGCTTACATGCTGATGAGGATGGGCAGGTCCAGGGGAGAGTCTGGAGACAATAGGACAGAATTTCTGAGAATGTGTGAATTATTGGGAACATCAGGAGGGACTGGCCTCCTACTGGAAGAGGGACACTGCCTCATTCATAAGAGGAGACACTTAGAAAATAATGAGTACAGAAGCAAAAACGTTCCCTTCTGATGGACTGTGTTTTTTTTCAGGGAAGTATGAGGCATGAAGGGTGAAACATCTGGCTAAGGGGAAAAAGTTAGAGGCTAACGGAGATAAGGCAGTGCTTTGGATGAGATTGAGGTTGATAATAACCTGCCTACATGATTTCCAGCAGGCTTCAGCTGTCCGGTTCAGGAGCAGAGACTGCTGACTGCTGATGTTTACACAATTCAGAACTAGCTTTTAGTCAGACAGATGTGGACCAAAAGATAGAGGAGCAAAGGAATTGAAAGTATTTGCAAGAGAGAGGGATTGATACTATGAAGCAATGCTAGACAGAGAGAGGAATGAAAGGAGAGAGTAGGCGGATGGAGAGAGAAGCAAAACCAACAATCTGGAGGTCCTCAAGAAATCAGAGTGAATGTAGAGGGGTGCATGAGCAAGGAAGATTGAAGGACAAGGGATTGGAAAGTGGGTTGTCAGAATTAGTGATCTGGAAGATGGGGCCTTTTTGATAATAAGGTCCAGCATAAAGCCTGGAGTGGGTGGCAGAGGGGATTAGAAAAAGCGGAGATGAGGAAGGCAAGAAATGGAAAAACTGGTCAGTGGTTATATGGATGTTAACACTACCATGAGTGATGACAGGTGGAGGGACAGATAGGAGGGCAGTAAGTCTTTGAAGAATGGGATAAAATGAGACCACAAATGTACGTGTAGAGTATAGCCACCAAGGTCAGTCAGAGGTTTTTAGAGGAGGAGAAATGGCCTGAAAGCAGCATGAGGAGCAAGGAAACAGACCTCACTTTCTTAAAGAAGAGGAATAAAGGGGCAATAAGGTGAAGAAACAGCCCCCAAAAGAAAAAGACTGGGGAAAAGCAGTTGGTCTAGAACACAGGATTTATTGTGACCGTGGTTCTCATCCCTGACTGCAAATGAGAATCATCTTTGGAGTTTTAAAACCTACCCATGCCCAGGTCCCCGTCGTTCCTGATGAATTAGAATCTTGAGCTTGGGGATTTGCATTACTGAAGAGCTCCCCGGTCATCTGAAAGTGCAAGTGGATTTTAAAACCACTGACTTAAGGCAAAGAGGTGGAGGAAATTTTGGAGAAGGGGCTGAAGGTACAGATAAATTTCTTGATTACAAATGAGAATGGCCTGAATGTACAAACTGTGTGTCCCCATGAACTTACACCCTCAAGAAACTGTGAGTAGCAGCAGCCCTTTCTTCTCCCAAGTTCATTACTCCATTTCGTCTCAAAGCAGAGATTCTGATCAAACAGCTAGATGTGGTCTTTGCAGGGAACCTGAGTGAGTTTATCTTTCTGCTTTATTTTAATATTCTTCCACACTTTTTCCAGGTGATCTGAGGAAAGCGGGAGCTGTCACCAGGCATTAAAGAAGGGGAGAAGGAGTTATTACAGGTAGCGCCCAGCCCTGACCCACTCACTGACACAGGTCAAGCCACTTTCCATGTAACTCCTGTAAAATGTGATGGTAGAACTGATGTGGAGGATGGCAAGGATGACAATGTGCCACTTAATCTTTACAAAGCAGTGTGTGCTTTGGACTCCAGACTTACAAAGACCATCTAATGTAATCACAGGCTTCTTGGGAAGTGAGTAGAATAAGAATCCTCATTTACAGGTGAATACCGCCCAAGGTCACCAGCTAAGTTACATTACCTGCAGGTGGCCTCCAGAGACCAGGGCCTTAAACACTCCACTTTATGTCACTTTTTAAAAAAAACAACGAAAGCTCCTTCTAATCACCCTGTGATTCTTTAACTCTTTGGCTTTCTTTCCCTGAAGGGACAGGATATACACTGCAGACTTCAAAGGCTTTGAAGGGGCAGTGGTTTTACTGAAAACTTACGGCAGGCTTCTGGAAGTGAGTCGAGGCGCACATATGGGGAAATGACGTCATGAGATTCCATCGCCTGGCTTCCCCACAGGTGCTCCCCTGAGTGTTTCCGGAGCCCAACAATAGCTGGCTTTTTTTCCAGCCCCGGGAGCAGCTCTTCTGGCAGGTGGAAATGTAATACCACGTGGTCAGAGGACGGCTCCTACTTGGATGGTGAGACTAGGATCTAGTAATTGCCAGGAAGATTCTGGGTGGTATTTCTTCACTGTGAAAAAGTAGACTCCAATTCTTTAACTCTCGTATTCTATACTTTTAAATTAGGTAATTTTAATCACTCGCTTCTTGGCTGAGCGTTACTACAAATTAAACATGCAATATTAATATTGAAAACAATGTCCCTTTAAACAATGTCCTAAAACTCGATGTGGGGCATTTCCAATATATCCATAAAGCAAATAAAACAACTTAATTGTTCGTTTCTCTAAGGGAAGGAGCTAAACCCGGAATTAATTTGGTTCAACCTGTGAAACAATTAGTTTGCTCTGCCTAATTCTGCCAATTAAAGAACTTTTCCCAGACACAATTAGCATGTAAATCAGCGGCGGGGAGCAAAGAAGGAGCCTCGGCGATCGGGGTTGGGTGGAGCGCGGGACTGAAAACCACGCAGGCCGCAGGGGCCGAACCATCTGGCTGTGTTACCGCGCCTGGGGCGAACGGACCAGCTGGGGACCAGCTCGCACTGACCGTGCGGTCATCAGCCCAAATCTAGGCGTTAAATAGCGCAGCCAGGGATCGAGCCGTCTTGGCCGCCAGATCCTTCTCCGAACCCCGCGGGATTCTAAGGAGAAGTCCCGGAGCCGGCCCCCACCCAATCCGCAGGAACGCGCAATCCTACCCTCCCCAACCCCCTCCCCAGGCTGCCTCTAGGAGCGTCGGGAGCTGTGCGCGCACCTAGGGCCGCGCCCCCCGCTATCCCAGGTCTGTAGCTGCCTTTGCCCTGGAAAGGTGGAGATAGCGGCCCCTGCTGACAGTTCTGGAGAACAGCAGAGGTACTGATTTTTTTTTTTTTTCCTATCATTCTCCCCGCCTTTTCCAGGTGGTGGTAGTGGTGCGGGGAATGGGTGTTGACCCGTGTGCATTTATTCTTCGTGAAGCCTCTTGAGCAGATGTCTGTACATGCAGAAGCGACAAAAAAAAAAAAAAAAAAAAGGAACGTGGACTTGTTAGTGGCCCTAGTCCCAATTAGGGAACAGGTACAGTTTCCAATATAAAACTCGGCCTAAGTGGGACTGAGATCCTGATCTCCGTACTTGCTTTTCCTCAGCCGTTTCCATGACTAGTAAATAGCTCTCTGAATTGCTGGGCCGTCCGGTGTTTCTTTGCTTAAAGGCTGCGACTGTGGTCTGCACCATCTGCGAAGCTCCCTTGGGGAGCAATAGCCGCGGAGCGCAGTTGCTTTCGGGGAGCAGCGGCAGGGGGAGGGGAACGTGGTGGTGTTGCCCGACGAGTTGGCACAAGCCTGTAACTGCAAGACTTTGTAGTTATTGAAAGTTCAAGTGGTGAAAGAAGGCTGTGCCTGCCATTCTTCTTCTGATCATAACAATAGCGCCTTGGAAGTAGCTGCGATTTTCTTCTTCAATAAAGCTGTTGGGTTCCCATTGGAATTGTTTGCCTGTTATTTCTGAAGTTTACTTATTTCTAAGACCAGTCCACAGGCTGTGAACTTTAAGAACTTTTAAAACAGATCGCCGTCGTTAAAAACACAATTCTCTGCACTAGTTTGCTTACTTCACATGCTTTATTAACGTGTTTGTGCATAACTAATAGCTGTGTTCTTATCTTCCAAGTGTATTTTTAACCGCAGCGGCCTCTATCCAATTCATCTAGCTACGTAGAGCGTCCATTACTTCTGGAATCTACCTCTTGATAACAGTAATCAGAATCAGAAAGGCTCGACGTTCACTTACCCTCATTCTTTAAAAGTTTTCCATTTAAGAAAATCGATGAACAAAACCTTTCTTGTAACTCGCTCCTGCACTACGTCTATTTTTATTTATTTTTCTGATTTGGCAGGACTAAGCAATGCTGTCCGAGATTTTTTTTTTTTTTTTTTTTTTCCTCCTAGCTAGAGCAGATGTGGGGGTGGAGGAGGTGAGGGCTGGGCTCCTGCCGGAGTCGCCCCCGCTGAGCCTCCGCCTAGCGCGCGGTGGGGCCAGGAATCCTGGTGGAAGGAAGCGGCGCTAGCCAGTAGGTCCAAGACTCCACCTGCAGCCATACCGCGTAGTTTCTCCCTCTGCCTCACTTACTCACACTCACACACACCACAGCTCTCCTTTGGGTCGGAGGAGACGCCAGCCAAAGTAGGCGGAGTTGCGGGAGAAGAGTCTGATCTGCGCAATCCAGTCCGGGACTTGGCTCCGCCCGGGAGCGGCGGCTTCTCCGGTGACAGAGGAGTAGTGAGCGGCTCGGGGTGAGGCTGCAGCCAACTCCGCTCCCCGCGCACTCGGCTGCCCAGGCGCTCGGGACGCAGCAGCGGCGCTCCTCCGCGGTGCCGGCCGCCCGCAATGCCCGCTTAGCAGCGTGTGGCCGCAGCCAGCATCACCACACCCGAGGCACCGCGCTCCCGGCCACAGAGCCGGGCCAGAGCCGTGCACCCCTGCCCCAGCCCCCACCCCGACCCCCGCCCTGAAATGACTTGTTAATCGGCGCAGACACCACCAAAGGGACTCACCGGAGTGGAATCCAAGTGGAATTTGGATTTGGGGAAGAGTTTCTTGAACATTTACCCTCTTCCTTGTTGGTTTTCTTTTTCTTCTTCTTCTTCTTTTTTTTTTTTTTTTTTGTTTTGGCTTCTTTTTTTCCTCGCCCCTTCTCCGCTCGTCGTAGGAGATGAACACATCCCGCTTGCATCCCAGAAAGTAGTCGCCGCGATTATTTCCCCCAAAGAGACAAGCACACATGTAGGAATGACAAAGGCTCGCGAAGGAGAGAGAGCAGCCCGCGGCCCGGAGAGATCCCCTCGATAATGGATTACTAAATGGGATACACGCTGTACCAGTCCGTTCCGAGCCCCGGCCGCCGGTCCGTCGATGCACCGAAAAGGTACGGCCCGGGCGCCCCTGCGCGCCCCACCTCCCGGGCAGCTGGACTCCAGCCTGAGGGTCCCAGGGCCGTGGCTAGCTCATGCTGTCGGCTTTGTGGTGCCTGCGTTTTATTTTGTCTTGTGTCTCCGTTTCTCGAGCGTTGCCCGGTCCTGGGGGAGTAGCCGTGAGCCCTGCCTGCGGTTCCTCTCAGCCCTGCGCCCTAGAAAACGCCGGGCTCCATCCACGTCGAGAGCTTTTCCCACCCGCGTTGCGCACTCGCCCGGCGCCGCCCCGGGCCGCGACGGCGCGTATGGCTGTTCCTCCCGGGTGTGTGTGTGTGTGAGACCCAAGGCTCATCCTCTCGCGGGCCAAGCAGGGAGCAAAGCGGGCCCGAGAGGGTGGGATTCTCAGAAGCTCCCTAGCCCGATGTCGAAGGCGGGGGAATGGGTTTTGCCCTCGAAGGCTGGAGGGGGTTGGGTAGAACAGCGCTGTTTTCGTCCGGTGCCAGGTGGGAGAAGGTTCCGCGGAGACCGTGTGGAAGAGGACAGAATCTTTTGTTGTAGTGTGGGGTCTGGGCTAGGCTCTGCGGAGTGCGAGAAACTTGTAATGGCCCTAGGCACCCGCGCTCCCTGTCTCTTGCTGAGATCCTGGCTCCTGTGGCCGCTGCCACCAGAGGTTCCGGGCTTTGTTCGCTCGAATAAGTGAGACCAGGAGCAGCCGTTCGGGTGGCCCGGCGCCCCCGCCCTGGGTCCTGTCCCCCGCCGCAGCTCCCACCCCGTGCGGCGAGGATATAGTCCGTCGCAGCTGCGTCCCCCTGAAGCACGGAGCCCTTTGCACCGCGGCTGGCGCATGCTGTGCCCTCCTCCCAGATCTGCGCGGTCTCGCTCTGGAAAGATGTCCCAGGAGGGGGAAGGGTGGGAGACCTGGCAAGAGATGGCCCGGGGTGTGAAACCTAGACAAGGGCTCTGTCCCGACTCCTCGCTGTGTCCTGGGGCGCTGCCATGGGGGCAGTGGGGCACTGGAGAGTCCGCCGGGCAGTGCCCACCCACCCTGCCTGACCCTGCCGGGAAGGGAAGTGTCTCTTGTCCCGATTCTCCGCGTTTTTCTCAGCTCCTCACTGTGGGAGACCGTGCAAAACAGGATTCTGAGGCCTCCCCACTCCTCGCACTACCCAAGCGGCACAGGCGGAGCCAGGGAGCGGTCCCGGACTTGCGGACGTCGGGAAAGGAAACAGAATTCCGCTGTTTTTCCCGCTCCCTCGCCGCCCCTACGCCCAGCTCCTCCTCCCACTTTACAGCGGCGGGGTCACTAGACCTGGCGCTTCTGGAAAGTTTCCCTGAAAGCCAGGGGCGGCAGGCAGGACCGGACTGGGGCTCAGCCTGTGCAGTCCGCGAGAAGCCGGACCTGGAGGGAATCAAATGGGCAGCTCCGGGTGCAGCTAGGAGCTAGGTCCCGGCCCTTTGGAGAGTGGCGCCTCCTGGTCCGCAGTACTTCCTCGACAAGTCGGGGAAGGGATGGATGGGGAAGCAGGACTCTGGAGGCAGGTGCGGCCACTGTGGACAGAGGCTGTGGCGAAGGTGTGTGAGGACCCAGGCCGGGGCTCGCTGTCTTGCAAGTAGCCAGGCATCCAGAGCCATCTGCGCCCTGCGCGCGATTTTCCCAGAGGCGGATGTCCAGGGAGGGGCGAAGCAGAGCCAGGTGCGCGTGGAGCGGGGGAGGAAAGGGAGACTGGAGGCGCTGTCTTCACAGCCAGGGCAAGCACTTCCAGGGGCAGCCTCTGGCCTGAGTCGCCCTCGGGAGCCCTGCAGACTGTTAAGCGTCTGTCTTTGGGAGAAAGGGGGCTGCTTTGGAACTGCGGTGGCCAGGCACAGCCACAGTGGGATCGCTCCTTTTTTTTACGCTCAGCTTTTTTACGCTACTGAATGCGATCTGTGAAAGGTTTGAAACACAGGAGCGCACGGACACACACACACACCCCACACCCCCTCGCGCTTGTACGCACAACTTTCTTTACCTCAGATCTGAAAAGCCATTTAACTCACTTGCAGTGTTGTGCCAGCAGGTCTCAGAAAAGCTATTTAATGCCCCCCAGCGCTGGTTTTTAAGTCCTTCCAGGATGAGAAGGTCGAGTGCCTTTGCCTTGTCTTTCTTTAATCCTGGTAATTGTTCGTCGTCCTTCCTTTGGTAGACATACATCTTGGGCGTCAAGTCCGTGGTATGCTACAGTGATGGCAGGGAAGACTGGTGGTTTAATTATTTAATTAGGTTTACTCCCAAAAGTAAAGGTGCCTGTGTTTAATTCTGAATGAAAATATTCTTTTTTACACCATACCCAAATGGCTACCAGAGGTCAAGATTGAAAGAATTTTGTATGACTTTAATGCTGTGTTTAGTCTGCATGGAGCAGTTTTATGATTTACAGTAAGCTTTGATTAAACTACTCCAGGCACCAAAGTTAATTATTAACCTGACCTTAAATACAGTGGCAGAACTATGTCTCCACCTATTAACCTAAACTATCTATTAAAAAATAATTGCACTAGCTATTTGAATTTGGTTTACCCATGCTTGTTTGTATGGTAACTTTTATTTGAATCTTGAGTAACTCCTAGTTCCTGTTATTATTTTGGTTTTAGGACATTCTTGAATAGGCACTTTGCAAACCAGTCTAAAGCAGAAAAGAATAAACAACATCAAATTTAAAAAGTTACTTTTATATTATGAGTCCTTTTTTCACCTTGATGTAAAGAAGCATTCTACTTTA